CCGAGCCGAGTTTTATTAGTTGCCCAATTTCCACTCCTGCCCGCATGCATAGTCCGGTCTGTGTTTACAGTTAAGGGATGAAACACAAGCTGCATCGGAAAATATCACCCCACTACATCTAAAAAATAAAGGCAATTTGCACCGTAAAATAACACCTTACACATGGCTTACGTACAGTCCTGTTAGTCTGTTATTACTATTCCTTTCACTCAAGAACAGTTTTCGAGAAAGGGCTTCGATGAGATGTCGGGTTCGGATTTGTTGTGCATTCACCTCGCCTTTAGGAGATGAAATAAAGTTTTTTTTCCTAAAAATTCTATAAATTTAACATTCAAAAGACGCTGTATTTAAGGAGGACGGTGGATTATGAAATTTCGGATCGAAAGCAAGAACTAGCGGATTCATGGTTACGACGTAAAATCGACACATTGGCGATGCAGAACTTGGAATCGCAATATGTGGAACTCTCTCGAATCCTAAAACAGCGCGAAGATACTCTCTACGTTGTTGCAATGAAGGCTAGTTTCTGTTCTTCTGCAACTAGAAGGAGGGAGATGGGGGAGGGGAGAATCCCTAAATTTTTGTTAGCTTCTGCCCCGTCTTCACCTAAAGAAGTACAGAATCCTTCAGGGTGAGATCCGAAAAATTGCGTTATCCTTTTTGCCAAAAAGCCATTCCAGCATATGCTTTTTAAATATCTTGATTTTATGAAATTTTGCACCCCTACATATTGATTTTTTTTATAATTTCAGGATTATTATCTTCTACCTCCAACCGATCGTAATGGTACCATACAGCCTCGTCTGGCGCTTATTTTGCCTGCTCTCTCTTTTAATGGAACATTACCGAATCAGGTTCTGATTAAGACGACTTAATACTACGTTTTTTTAATTTGATGTATCTGGAATGCTCAAGTTAGCTGTGACTGAGAGTTTAGTTTTGCAGCTGCGCACTCAGGCACCATTCCCAATGAAAAAAAAGGAAAAAAAACAAATTACTCGAATTAATACAGATAATTTTTATAAATTAATGCATACTTTTTTATAATTAATACACGATTCCTATGATTCCTATGTATTAATTATAAAAAAAAATATGCAGTAATATATCATGATTCCTCATTCATATGTATCATGATTCCTACATATCATGATTCCTATGTATTAATTATAGAAAAATATGCAATGATTCTGCAATAACGACGTGTTATGAAAAGAAAGGCTGCCACAAAAAGTTTGGCGGCGTAGGGAAAGAAGACGAGGGAGAGAGGGGAGTATGGTGCTTTTATAGAGGACATGAACCTAGCAAAAATGCTACCAGGCTGTTCCCCTCCGGCACAAGGGCGGCTGTGCAGTAGTTTATCATGATACATTGGAATGTGGAGACGAATCTCAGGTTCGATTCTGACCCAGACCATACTTACTTGAATACATGAGCAGCTCTATGTCATCGACGTTCGTTGTCACACCATCGATGCAGCATTGGCAACTTCTCCATTCAACTCGTTATTGCGCTGTCCGAGTCCACGTGATTTCGTACAGGCGTACTACTGGGTCTCTCGTTGGTGGCCTCCCCTGTTTTCGCTTGACCGCACATGGGTACCATCCCATTATCTGCTTCGTCCATCTGTTATCTGTCATCCGTGCCACATGATGACCAGCTTGTACTCGAAATAACTTATAGCAAAACTACTGAGCATGGAATTTATCTCTGAGTCGAACACTCCAAAATAAACAATAACAGACTCCAAGGCCGCCGCTGTCGCGAAGTCCGCCGCTGTTACCAAGTCCGGCGCTCCTCCTCCCAAATCTGCCGCTGTTGCGATGGGCCGCTTCTCTTCGAACTCTTTCTTCCGAATGGCAAAGGCCCCGGCGGTTGCTGATCTCTCTAAAGTATATTCCCGCCCATCCCATTGGGCGGTGAATATATTGTCATAATCGATCACCATTGTTTCCTCGCATTCGCGACATAGCCCATCTCTTCGTGCTGGCATACATTGCTTCGATAATGTCCACCATGTCAGATCTGGCTCGGAGCACTTCATTTGAAATGTGCTGCATCCTGTTGACGCCAACTATCCCCCGCTCCATTGCTCTTTGAGACACCCAGATCATACTCTCTGCAAAAAAAGGGATTCCGTCCACGATATTACACATCTGTTTTTTGTGAGTGCATGAAAAGTGTCGTATCTGTTGAAACGTATGGAAAAGCTAGCAATGCTAATTTCTGATGTGGTAGTCATTTTTTAATATTTTTCTTTTTTCATTCCGAATTTACTAGATCGAAAACGGGCTACTGAAGGAGTAAAAATTAAGAAAACGTCAAATGCGTGCTTTTTTTTTTTCAGGTTGCAATGATGCGGTTAGAATGTGATATCACTGGAACTGGACTATTCCAGCTTCCCAGTTCACTCCTTTCGTTATTCTACGATTAGTTTTCTTATCAGCCATTTCGCTTTTGCTCCGTCTCCCTGAATCGTCGTTTCGGCATACAGTATTATCGCTATCACGTTTTTTTTTGTTTTTTTTAGGGCATATTCCTCTGTTGCCATTTGATTTTGTCCGCTGTAATAAGACATATTTGTTATGCGTTTTTGGCGTGCAAAAGCGCATATTTTCGAGGGCTTGTCTATGCGTGTGTGTGTGTGTATGTGTGTGTGTGTGTGTCTGTATGTGCGTCTGTACCGATTTTTCATCTCGAGACCCGGAAAAGCTACA